AGCAACGCAGCTCCAGATGGTTTGTTATCGATGAGTATGGTTACTAGTAGTTTATTCAATGAGGAGACTCGAATGAAGTCTACCAGCACAGGTAACTCACAGGTACTTGTCACGAAAAACATGGGCAAGAGAAGGTATAGGGACCAGTCTAGAGGTCGTGGTACATCTAAGGGCAGATCAAAGTCTAAAGGAATAGGTTGTTTTTATTGTAGGAAACCAGGTCATATTAAGAAGAATTGTTGAGCATTAAAGAAAGAACAAGCTGAAAACAAAGATGAAAAGAAAGATGAGAAGAAGAAAGCTGATAGTGACACTATAGATACTTTGTCTGATACCGATGTTATTCTTAATTACAGGGAAGAATACTGTATGCATGTTACAAGTCAGAATTCCGAGTGGATAGTGGATACAGGAGCTACATATCATGCTACCTCCAATCGAGACATTTTCACGTCGTATAAAGCAGGTGATTTTAGCCATGTGAAGATGGGCAATACCAACTACTCGAAAATTGTCAGACTTGGTGATATACACTTGCAAACAAATATCGGATGCACATTGATCTTAAAGAATGCGCGACATATTCTCAATTTACGGCTCAACTTGATTTCGGGTCTTACTTTAGACCAAATGGGATATGAAATTCAATTTGGTGGAGGAAAATGTAAAATCACCAAAGGCTCTCTTGTGGTGGCTAGAATAAGTATATGGTGCAATTTATATAAGACTCAAGCAAATGCTTCATATGATTCTTTGAGTGTGGATCAAGACGGTGACACTCTCAGTTTGTGACATAGGAGGCTCGGGCACATGAGTGAGAAAGGGTTATAGATATTGGCAAATAAGTCTCCCATTCCCTTTGTCAAAGGTTCTTTACTCACCCCTTGTAATTATTATTTATTTGGAAAACAACATAGAGTTTCTTTTAGTAAGCCTTCTAAAAGAAAATATAATATCATGGATTTGATTTATTCTGGTGTTTATGGTCCTATTGAGGTAGAGTCCTTGGGTGGCAATAAGTAGTTTGTCACATATATTAATGATACATCACGGAGGATTGGGTCTTCTTATTGAGGATAAAGGACCAGGTATTTTCAGTCTTCCAGCAGTTTCATGCCATGGTGGAGAGGCAGCCAGGAAAGAAGTTGAAGTATTTGCGCACCGATAATAGAGGAGAGTACACTTCCATTGAGTTTAGAGATTATTTCTTCAAGCATGGTATTCGACATCAGAGGACAGAGCCCGGCACACCACAGCATAATGGAGTTGCAAAGAGGTACAACAGAACCATTGTGAAGAAAGTCAGATGCATGTTGAAGATGGCGGAGTTACCTAAAAACTTCTGGGTTGAATATGTTCCCAATGCATGCTACATAATCAATAGGTCTCCTTCAGTTCCTATGACTTTTGATTTTCCAGAGAGAGTTTGGTCTGTAAAAGATATTTCATATTCTCATCTGAAGGTGTTTGGTTGCAAGGCGTTCACACACATTCCATAGGAGAAGAGACAGAACCTTGATGATAGAGCGATACCTTACATCTTCCTTGGTTATGGAGAAGATGAGTTCAGCTACAAACTATGGGATCTAGAAAAGAGATGAATTATCAGACGAGCAGATGTGATTTTTCAGGAGGATCAGACTATTGCAGATCTCGGGAAATCAGACCAGTCAAAGAGTGTTGCCAGTAAGATTCCAGATATGGCACCTGTTTCGTCTCCAGTACAGTTGCATTCTACAAATATGGAGCAGGTGCATGATGATGATGTTGATGATGACAGTCAGATACCAGAGCAGGGAGATGATAATCAGGATTATGAGCAGGAGGCTCCTCATCAAGGAAAGCATCACCAACAACAGGAGTTTGCAGAGGTATAATTTAGGAGATCAACCAGAGAGCATCGACCATCCACGAGATATCCTTTTTCGGACTATTCTTTCCTAACAGAAAAGGGGAACCCATAAAGCTTTCAGGAGGTATATACTCATAAAGACAATGACAGATGGTTCCAGGCTATGAAGGAAGAGATGAAGTCTCTTGAGAAGAACGATACTTATGAGTTAGGGGATTTGCCGAAGGAGAGAAAAGCTTTGAAGAACAAGTGGGTGTTCAAGTTAAAGAATGATGGCTACAAAGAGATTCAGAAATACAAAGCCAGATTAATGGTGAAAGGCTTTGATCAAGAAAAGGGCATTGATTTTGATGAGATTTTTTCATCGGTTGTGAAGATGACATCCATTAGAGTTATCTTGAGGTTAGCAGTTAGTTTAGGCCTCGAGATTGAGCAACTTGATGTGAAGACCGCATTCCTTCATGATGATTTGGAGGAAAAGATTTACATGGAGCAGCCGGAGGGTTTTGAAGTGAAGTGAAAAGAACACATGGTTTTCAGGTTGAAGAAGAGCCTCTATGGTTTGAAGCGGGCACCTAGGCAGTGGTACAAGAAATTTAATTCTTTCATGTTGAGTCATGGCTACCAGAGGAGAGTTGCAGACTCATGTGTATATTTCAGGAGAATTTTGAATTCTAGTTTCATTATCTTTTTTCTTTATGTGGATGATATGTTGATTGTTGGTCAGAATAGTCAGATAATTGGTAGGTTGAAGAATGAGTTATTTAAATCTTTTGATATAAAGGATTTGAGCTTGGCACAACGGATTCTTGGTATGGATATTACTCAGGACAAGAAATCCAGGAAGTTGTGGTTATCACAGGAGAAATATATTGAATGGCTACTTGATAGATGCAACATAAAAGATGTTAAGTCAGTCAGTACTCCTCTTGTAGGCCATTTGAAGCTTAGCAAAAAGTTTTGCCCGACTACAGATGAGGAAAAGAGTTTGATGGAGAATATTATTTACTCTTCAGCTGTAGGGCGTTTGATGTATGCCATGGTTTGCACTCGGCTATATATAGCTCATGCGGTTGGCGTTATGAGCAAGTTTCTTTCTAATCCAGGAAAAAATCATTGGGAAGATGTAAAGTGAATCTTAAAATATTTGAAAAGCAGTTTCAGATTGTGTTTGAGTTTTGGAGGTTCGAATGCAGTATTATATGGTTTTGCAGATACGGATATGGCAGGTGATCTCGATCACAGGAAGTCTACCGCAGGTTGGTTGTTCACTTTTGTAGGGGAGCAGTATCTTGGCAGTCCATGTTGTAGAAGTGTGTTGTTTTATCTACAACAGAGGAAGAATATATTGCAGCTACAGAAGCCAGTAAGGAGATGATTTGGTTGAGAAGATTTCTGTAGTAGTTAGGCTTGCAGCAGGACAATTATCAAATCTTCATTGATAGTTAAAGTGCTCTTGATTTGAGCAAGAATTTCACATTCCACTCCAGGACGAAACACATTGATGTGAAATATCATAGGCTTAAAGAAGCAGTTGAGAAAGAGGAGCTGAAGCTACAGAAGATTCACACAGATAAAAATCCAACAGGTTTTTTAAGAATATCATTTCTAGAAAGAAGACCGAGTTGTGTCAGCAATTGGCCAGTATGAACTCCCGTTGAGGAGTTACAGATTGGCATACCCCCTCGTTGGGCTGGAGGGGGAGATTGTTGTGGGTCCAGCTCAAGATAAGGCCCACATGATGTTCACATGAATTAAAACTCTATCTAGAAGTGGATTTGGATGATCTATTTGGAATAGGAATAGGTTTTGAGAATTCTATATATGAGAAACCTGTATTTTTTTCCTCGGCTACAGTACCGTGAAAAGTAATTCAAAAAAGGGGAGAGAGAAAAATTAAGATTTCGGATAACTCGGTTGTCTGATTGCAGTGATTCAAAAGCCATTGTCTTGAGAAAGACGACGATGTCAAGGATACGGTGCTGGTTTCTCCGCTGGTGTTGAAAATTTTTGGTGAGACTGGTTTTAGGGTTTTGGTGCACTAAAGGTAGCACTGTATCTTTTTCTTGTGATTTAGCCCTCAAGTTCAGGTATAACTTGGAGGGATTGTATACTTGATTCATAGTGAAATATTTCTCTCTGGATTGCCCCGTGGACATACGCGCGATTTATCAAACCATGTTAAATTTTGTTGTTTGCTTACTTGTGGTATTTTCATTGGTGTCGTTATTCGTTTAGACTCTGTTTGGCAAAGGGTTAAAAAAGAGGGGTTAAAGAAAAGGACTAATGTATTTAGCATATTCGATAATCTGAAAGACTAAATTATTAATCCGTTAAATAAGTTTTATTTTAGTCATTTTGTTTAGTTTTAATGTTTGGGAATAACAATCATTTTGACTATTTTCTTTATAATTATAAGGGTTAACTCTTAATCCTTCTAAATAGGAGTATTAGTAAACCCCTCATTAACTCATTTTAATCCCTCTAGAGGGATTAACTTAACCATTCTATATTTTTTAAGTTTGGCAAATTATGGAGGGTTAACTCACTTTAACCCTTGTATATATTTTTTGTGTTTGGCGGGTTAAGGAAGGGTTAAGTCTCATTAACCCCTCACTAAACCATTTGCCAAACAGTACCTTAGTGTTTAATTCCGTAGATTAATCTCTATAAAATCTCCAACATGTCTTTTATTAATTTCCTTTTGTTTAAGAAAGACGTTGATAATTAAAATCCAAAAAGATCCCTTCTACGCTAAATTTAAAATTGGAAAATAATAATCCAATTTCACAACTACGTAAGCCTATACATAGTCCCATTATACAACGAAATTTTTTAAATAAAATCCCATGTAAGAGCCAGGGAATGACAACTTAATTTTTCTCCTGACTAAATCATCATGAACATAAGGCTAATTGCTAATCATAAATTTAAGCTCCCAAATCAGCAACAATATCTTGATTGCACAGCGAAAGCAAAGTAACTCTCGGGCAGCTCATTTTCTGCTCCCCTTCCCATAAATATCCAGAAGCTCAGGAACCTCGTGCTTTATGTGGGACAACAAATTTGTCCACAAACAGGATGGTGTAACGAATTTGTGAAAGAACGCAAGTACACAGAAAAAGTGCAAACAGGATGGTGTAACGAATTAACAAGCAACCATTCCAAATTCATACAAAAATCAACACATTCCTTCTTTTTTTCCCTGTTATGAACAAGCTTGTCAGATGTCAGAAACATTCATACTACATCAACTCACTAAATCAACGTGCAATTAGAAATGCTCGAGTTAACAAAGGAATGGTTAGGGCAGTAAAGATTGCAGACCACTTTCAGCCCCTCTCACTGAATAATGCAATTTTACATATCCTGCTTAGAGGATACTGACAATGATACAACTTGCTATAAAGTAGAGGGATGAATATCATGGACAAATTTATGTGGATGAAACTGAGACAATATAACGCCAGAGATAGATTCACATGCACAGTAAAAACTTCCACTTCAGCCCTGTTGAATGGACACTGTCACCTTGGACCAGATAATTCAACAGCGTGAAGGTTATCAGTGGAATCAAGAATCCATTCAGAGTTGCAATGAGGAGCCATCTCCACTTCTTGACGAACTACTTCCACTTTCTGCCATTCTTCCCATCTCTCAGCAAGGCCATCTCCTTCGAGCATTCTCACCACCTCCGACATTTTCGGACGCTCCATTGGTGAGCCTTGAGTGCAGAGAAGGGCAATCTGAATGAGAGACTCTACCTCAGCCTCTATATAATTGCTTTGTAGTTCAGGATCAATCAAAGTCTCAAGCTTTCTCTCTTTCAGAAGACCTTTAACCTTATGAGGACAAACATAGGATGGCAGAAGTTAAATTCCAGTACTGTAGAGATCCTCAACTTGTAGAAACTATTACTTTTAATTAATGATAAAAATAAAATTTCCATTTGATGCCATTAAGGAATCTATGTCACATACCAATACCATTTGTCTTCTTTTGCTTATACACCATTGTAAAAGGGATTACATTCTAATTTAGCACATAGCTAAATCCTCCCTAGCCATTTGAACTAATGAAGGGGGAGAAGTTCACAGTAAATGCAATGTTCACATGACATCAACTATTTGCCCATCATTGGCAACAAACTCAGCACAATCATTGACTCTAAACCATTGCAGAAAGGAAAGCATCTGTTCACATTCTCGAAGCAGTGGTCCATAATCAAGGAGACTGCCTTTCGAAGTTGAAGGATGGTGCAAAAGGAGTATCCTTCCACCCAAAGCTTGTGGGGGTTAAGCTTCTTGATGGTAATATATAGATTATAACTGAACTAAGATGCAATTATTTCTGCGGCCACCACAAAAGACAGGTCCAAGAATTAATTTATCATATTGGCTCCTAGTAACAAAAACCTACACCCGCTCGCAGAAGTTAGCACGCTTGACCCATCAAAGGTGACCTAGACGGTATCAAATTATGGCAAACACCAAAGTTTATTGCTCCCATATTTCCCCATTCCCCTTGCTGCCCCTTGCTTTCAGTTTATAGTTCCAGTTTATAGCTCCATGAATCTTTTTCATATGTAGGTCAATGACCATGATACTTGCATTTCAATAGAAATCTTCAATACAACAACAAAAAAAAACTTTGCATGTATTTTCAAAGTATTGAACTTCCCAAGTAAAAGGAGGAACACGCTCAAGTGTACGCACAATAACCCACTGGTAGTTATCATATCAAGTGCTTATCACAGAAGTTTCAACACAGGTTATTAAACGCGCCCAATATGCATTTTATATAAGCATAAAGTAGCACAATAAGGAAAATCTTAAAAGAAATATAATTCCAAAGTACAAACCTCAAATTTATATGAGCTAGTTCAGATGACGGCATATATGATGGGACCCTCGGGAACCAAAACTCCGTGTTGCATGGTGGCATATCAATTAGCCAGGAAACAACTGACAGTGATTAGTTAATTTACAAACCTAACTGGAAGTTAGCTACCAAATCATTGATGCAATTGATGGCCAAACCTTTCCTACTGTCAATGTCAAAGAAAATTAGAAACTAAAAGAATATGGCATTACCCAATCAAGCAACATGACATCATCATCTTTTGCAAGCCGACCAAGATCAAAAGCCCTTTGTCCAGTAATGAGCTCCAGAAGCATGATTCCATACCCAAAAACATCTGTCTTCTCTGAAGACTTCCCTGTGGATAAGTACTCTGGAGCAATGTGTCCAATTGTTCCTCTGACAGCAGTATATACATGAGTATCCTTGTAGTCCATTAGTTTTGCCAAGCCAAAGTCTCCAACCACTGCCTCAAACTCCTCATCCAATAAGATATTTGCAGCTTTGACATCGCGATGAATAATCCTTGGATCACAATGGTCATGCAAATAAGACAGTCCGCGTGCAGATCCCAATGCAATTCGCCTACGGATAGGCCATTCCAGTGGCAGTTCTGCCGGTGGGCGTTCTACAGCAACCAACACTATACTGTTAGAGTATATTCAATAAAGAATACAAAGACATGCAATTTCATAGGTAAACATACAATAAGCAATTACAATCCAGATAATAAAGTAATGCACGTCAGTTTCTATTAGGAAGTTCTAAGATTTCAATCCGAAATTGTCATGCCGCCAAACCGCATAGCATAATCCGGGGTTCGCAACAACGGCGACACATGCATGAACACATGTAATATGGACAACAACTCTAAAACATATAAAATGCTTAAACACTTTTGCAAACTGTTCTCATGTAAATTTCATGAAAATAGGACACTTATGAATCTAAAACAAATAAATAGAACTCTTCAATAAATGCATTTGAACAGTAAATTTGAAATGACCTATTTTCAATAATCCCATATATTAAACAATATTTATCTTGTAAAAGATAAATAGCTATCATGATCCAAATTTGTTAACAATTACTATAAATGAACAGAATAACATGTTTGATCCACAATTTCTCTACACAAAAAAAAATTATTATAAATAATATATAATAGATTAAAATAACTAATAAGAAGAAATCTACTCACCTCAAGAGATTTGACAACCCTTGGAGAACCATATTCGAATTATCTTACTCCTTACTTGACTGAACCTATAAGCACAAAATATTATAAATACTAAAGATTCTAAGTATAAATTGTTCTGGGCATAATACTAAGGTTTCTGAATTTCTAGGGGCTTTTCTAAAACTTATTTCTATTCTTTATTTTAGAGGATCTAATTGTAAACTTTATTTAACTAAAGGCTCAAAGGAAAAAAAATTTAATTAAATAGGTTTCAGGTAGAAGCATATCTTCATAGGATTCTGGACCTAAAACTAATTTCCATATTTCTAAGGATTTAATAACAATTTTTCTTTTCTTAGATCCTAAACTTTATTTAACTAAAGGCTTAAAGGAAAAAAAATAATTAAATAGGTTTCAGGTAGAAGCATATCTTCATAGGATTCTGGACCTAAAACTAATTTCCATATTTCTAAGGATTTAATAACAATTTTTCTTTTCTTAGATCCTAAACTTTATTTAACTAAAGGCTTAAAGGAAAAAAAATAATTAAATAGGTTTCAGGTAGAAGCATATCTTCATAGGATTCTGGACCTAAAACTAATTTCCATATTTCTAAGGATTTAATAACAATTTTTCTTTTCTTTCCTCTTATCTGCTTTTTTTTGTAATAGAACTCATAAGAGATTCAATGGGTTTGGTGATTGCAGTGGCTCTTGCTAGCGAAACCCTCGGCCAAGGGATGGTCGGAGGTCATCGGACATTGCCGAAGTCGACGCCGATGGCCAAAAAGGTTTTTTTTTTAAATCTAAAAAAATAAAATAAAATGCTTACCTAAAATTTTTGCTATTCTCCTTCCTCCTCTATTCTCAGAATCCCTCTTCTTGTGTGAGTAGAAACTCAAGAATAGGTTGAATTTATAGATTTTCAAGGTTGTTCATTTTTTATCTTTATAACATATTTTCAAGTATTGTAAATAAGAATCACATTTTTATGAGGGTATACTAACAAATTCAATTTTGAATTTGCTTCTGATGATGGTGCTCACATTCTCCCTACCTTTAATAAAGTTGTCTCTGAAACTATACGTATCTTGGTTTCGGAAAAGTTGTAGATATCTCTCTCGTATATCATCCTCAAGCTCCCAAGTTGCTTCTCTTTCAGTGTGATTCTTCCATTAAATTTTGACAAATGTGATAGTGCGCCGCATGAGTACTTATTTCTTCTGATCAACAATGCATCATGGTTGCATCTTATAAGTCAAATCTTCATTTAGCTTAATTCGTGTCAGTTCAATAATCTGATCCGGATCTCGAATAAATTTCCTCAACATAGATATATAAAACACATTGTGGACTCTAGCCAAAGAAGGCGGCAAGGCAAGCCTATAGGCGACTTCACTTATACGCTGAAGAATTTCGAAAATCTTGGACTCAACTTTCATCGAATTCAAAATCGCTTCACACCTCTTTTTGGATATACTTTTAAAAATAAATGATCACCTTCTTGAAATTCTAGGTTTATCCTCTGATCAGCATAGCTCTTCTATCTACATTGTGCATTTTGAATATGCACTCTTATCAAGTACATCTTGTCTATAGCTTGTTGTACTAACTCAGGTCCAAGAAGTTTCCTTTCTTCAACATCATCCCAGTGTATAGGCGAACGACACTTCCTTCCATATAGAGCTTCATACAGTGTCATCTTAATGCTTGAATGGTAACTATTATTATATGCACTCTGCCAATGGTAAATGCTCCACCCATGATCCATTTAAATCAAGGATACATCTTAACATATCCCGAGAGTTTGAATTGTTCTCTCTGATTGACCATATGTTTATGGATGATATGCTGAGCTAAATCAGAGTTTACTCCAAAGAACTTTGCACACCTTTCCAATACTCTGATACAAATTTAGGATCTCCATCATATACTATTTCCATTGGAGCACCATGAATCCCGACTATTTCAACAATATACAACTTCACAAGCTTCTTCAATGAAAACTTCATATTGATCGGCAAGAAGTGAGCCGACTTAGTCAGACGGTCCACTACAATGTTCCAAAAGGCAGATAACTTGTTTGCATATACAAGCGAGTATGTGGAATCGACCCATTTCCACTTGGAAATGGGCTGATTCGCTCAATTATGCGGACAATCGTGTAATTGAACGAAAAACGATTAATCGCCCGCATAAAATGTTTATGCGCGTGTTTTTTTCTTTGAGGTTATAACAGGTTTCGGATACAAAAAATAAACCCAAATATATTGTCAACCCAAAGCCTACCCATTTCTTATCTAAAAACCCCAATACCTTCCCCTCTGTTTCTGTCCACGTAAAAATAAAAAGAAAACGAAACCCTAAATCATCTTCCTTCTCCACTAGCCGCCAGATCTCCTCTACACCATCTTCCATCGATTTGGCATGTTCTCTTCTTCAACCAGTCTTCACCATCTTCTGCCACCAAGATCTCCTCTTCCAGTACTCTCCATCGGTCTTTACCGCCTTTTTCCGATCCTAAAACCCTAGTGTTCACCATCTTCATTGAAGCTTCTAGTCTTCATCATCTCCCGTCGAAGCTTCTAGTCTTCGCCATCTTCCATGGGCTTCTTATTCAACCTTCGATATATGTCGAATGTTAGAAATCTTACTTCAGATTTTCCAGTCTTCACTTGGATAACTCCTTCAATTCTAATTTTAGGATAATTATTTTAGGGCACTGTTCTGATTTTGAATTGAGATCAAAATCAAAACTGGTAATTATTTGTGGTGCTAAAAGTGATATTTAACTGAAAAATCTCATTTTTATGAACTTGAAGTGCATATTGGAAGAGTACTTCTATTAGTAGTTATGAACTTTTTTGTTTTAGTTTAAGTGTTTAATTAGTAACTTTTATCTGAGTAGCTAGTTAATTATTATGTATGCATGGATAATGGATACATTGGATTGAGTGTTTATTTGGCTACTTAGTTATTGACTATTAGTCACATGTTTATTAGCATTTTTCTTAGAACATGCTCTATCTTTTATGAATTATATACAGTTTTATGTATGAGAACTAATAAATATATGTTAAAAATTCAAAAACGCATAATTTCACATAATCTGATTAATCGGAGAGTAATCCGATTAATCGTGATTCGTTCTAGGACCGCACAGATAATAAAATCGTGTTTTTGAACATTGGTCCACTATAACCCATATGGCATTGTTACCTCTCGCAGATCTTGGTAAGCCCGTGACAAAGTCTAGAGTAATTTTCTCCCACTTCCACATTGGTATTTCGAGGTTAATCCCGTTGCTCTTTGATCTTCTGCTTTTACTTGCTGACATATCTCACACTCTGAGACATATTTGCTAATAACCCTCTTCATATTATTCCACCAGTATATCTCTTTTAGATCTTTGTACATTTTGATTCCACCAGGATGCATTGTATATCCAAAACGACGAGCCTCTTTCAAAATCTCTTTTTTCAATTCTAAATTTTAGGAACACAAAGTTGATTTCCAAACAAAGGGATCCGTCATCATGTATTGCAAAACCTAGTTGTTTACCATCCTCGACTTCTTTTCCAATGACTTTCAATTCAGAGTCATCTTTTTGGGTGATCTTAATCTCATCAATCAGAGCAAGTTGTACCTGGACATTGTTCAATTTGGGCGATGGTTAATGACACCGGATCTCAATTCTCAATCGATCCAAATCTTCTAAAATATGTCTTTGTCGAGTAATGAGACAAACTATATTACTCTTCTGACTAAGAGCGTCAGCAACTACATTTACTTTCCCTGGGTGATAGTTAATATTAACATCATAATCTTTAAGTAACTCCAACCATCTCTTTTGCCTTATGTTCAACTCAATGTGAGCACCATCATCAGAAACAATTTCAAAATTCAATCTGCTAGTACACATTCATAGAAAATGTGATTCTTATTTATAATAGTGTGTGAAAATATGTTATAAAAGTAAAAAATGAACAATCTTGAATATCTATAAATTCAACTCATTCTTGAATTTCTCCTTACGCAAGAGGGATTCTGAGAATAGGGAGGAATGAGAAGAGCATAACTTTTTTAGGTAAGTGTTTATTTTAGTTTTTAAAATTAAAAAAAATCTTTCCGATCACCAGCGTCAGCTCCAGCAATGTCCAGTGACCTCCGACCATCCTTTGGTCGAGGGTTTCGCCGGCGAGAGCCACTGCAGTCACCAAACTAATTGAATCTGTTTTTGGTTCTATTACTAAAAAAGAAACAGATAAGAGGAAGAAGAAAAGGAAAATTATTATTAGACCCTTAAAAATATGAAAATTATTTTTGGGTCCAAAAATCTATGAAGAGATGTTTCTACATGAAACCTATTTAATGAAAAAATTTCCTTTGAGCCCTTAGTTAAATAAAGTTTACCCTAGAAATCCAAAACCTTAGTATTATACTCAGAATAGTTTATACTTAGAATCTTTAGTATTTATGCATATTATCTGTTAATAGGTTCAAGTAAGATAAATCAAATACTGCTCTCCAAGGATTGTCAAATCTCTTGAAGTGAGTAGATTTTTTCTCATTAGTTATTCCCATCGATTATATATTATTTAAATGGTACTTTATTTTTGTAGAAAAATTATGGATCAGACATGTTACCCTGTCCATTTATAGTAATTGTTAACAAAATTGAATCGTTATAACTATTTATTTTTTACAAGATAAATATTGTTTAGTATATTAGATTATTGAAAATATGTCATTTCAAATTTACTGTACAAATGCATTTATTGAAGAGTTCTTTTACAAGATAAATATTGTTTAGTATATGATATTATTGAAAATATGACATTTCAAATTTACTGTTCAAATGCATTTATTGAAGAGTTCTATTTGATAAAAAAGATTATTTATTTGTTTAGAAAAAAATTATTTATTTGTTTAGATTCATGAATATTCTATTTTCATGAAATTGGCATGAGAAAAGTTTAGAAATTAACATGAGAAAATTTTACGATAAATGTTTAAGCATTTATATTTAAGCATTTATATTTAAGCATTTATATTGCTTTTCGTATAAGTGGAAGTGGCAAGTGATACTTTGATTGAAAAGAAAAGTGTTTTAAATGTTTAACATCCTCAGAAGTCTACTATGAAATGAAGTGATTTGTTTAAGCCTACCAAATGGTATTGAATCTACTGATCAGTGTTGAAGTCGTCTTTCTGGCAAAAGTGAAGTGGGCTTCTGGTAACTTATGGTAGTGCTAGGTACATTCTGTCCCCGAGTTGACCTATAGTGATTCGATGCGCATTCCCATGCTACTAGGCAATAATTTTTGTAGCCTTAGTGTGACAACAGAGGAAGTTTCGCAAGTGTTAATTTTGACCGATAATTACACTCTTAAAAGTATTTAGTGTTCATTCGTATTGTTTCTTAAATTTGTAAATATTCTTTTATGATAATGTCACATGTTTTTCTTGGAAATTCCTCTTATTCGAAATATTATGTGTTTCTCAGACATTCTTTTTGAAAATAGTTTATCTAAAGTTAGTACTGATATTTTTTAAACTTGTCTGATCCGCTAATGAGAAGTTATCTATTCATTGAGTTGTGAACTCACCCTCTACTTTTCTATTCTTTTTAGGTAAAAATTAGATTGTTCTACCTTTAGCTTGGAGGATTAACAGCTACTAGAGAACTTATTAGCAATATTATGCTTATCTGAGATAGATCAACATGATTATGTAATAAGAGTTTAATGACTCACTAATTGTAATATTTATATTGTGCTTGTTATAGTGTGGCTTCTCTGAGGCTTCTAAACTTCAAGAAAGTTTTCCTTTATGAACTATTTGACAAAAAATATATATATAAGCGCACAGTAGGCTTGACATGTGTTCACGCACGTGTCGCCGTTACCGCGACACCCGGATTATGTTGTGTGGTTTGGGGGCATGACAGAAATGTCGTGGCTTGACAGATGATTATATGAATTCATTCAATCTTTTCAATTCAGAAATATTCTCCTTGAAGAGAATGAAATCAGGTGGAGATGTCAAAGATGCACTCAGGTTCTTGTATATGATGATTTAGAGTTTCAACTTGAGAATAGATCAAAATGGGCCCAACAACATGCAAACCCAAAGTTAAATAAGGCGGGATTTGATCGTACTTGAACTAAACAATCACCTGATTTGATCACACGAACCAAACAAAAAGGCACCTAAAGTTTATGTGCAACTAAATAAAGGATTCAACATAAACCAACTAATTTCAAGCATTTGATAGATCAGGTGGTCAATCCTGAAAAAAAGGTTGGCCAGCTGGGCAACAACTGGGACACAGAAGGCCAGACTGTGCGTTGGAAATACGCTTCTAACCATATTTGATCCACCTGGTATGCTGCTCTATAACTATACGATACTATGTTGATATGTAGTACCTCTTAAGCATGACGCCACACTCCCGTTTGCCATGTAAGGATAGACTAACAACCGTTCAGTGGGTGTCATACAAAATCCACGAAGACGTAACAGGTTCCGATGCACAGCCATGCTAATCATTTCAACTTCTGTCTGAAATTGGAGTTCTCCACCTGCCGTGCGCTCTTCTTTTAGCCTTTTTACTGCTACCAAGGAACCATCTACTAGTCGCCCTTTGTAAACCTTTCCAAATCCACCCTTGCCCAAAATGTTCTTATTGCTAAAGCCATCAGTTGCAACTTGAAGCTCTCGCAAAGAAAACCTTTTGAGCTGACCTAAATGAACTTCTGGGTCTTCCTCAGCTGCACAAGGAAAAAGAAGTTACTATATCAAATCTTTATGATTTTGAACATACTTACTCAAACACTAACCAGGGACATCAAAGAAGTATTCTTGGGGTTTACGGCGTCGCCACCAAGCAAACCCAATTGCCGGTGCAGCAAACAGCAAAGCAGCACCTGCAGCAACTCCCCCAGCAATTGTCCCGGTGCTAGGAGCACTACTTCCTGTGGAGATTGAAGTTACAGAGATAAATTGACTTGCTTACAAGATTTTCTTCTGAACTCTGTAGTCTGCTCATGTTTTAGAATGAGTAGAGTACTAAAATGCATGAAACATAGTATTCCTTATATATTCATTCATATAGTTTGAGAATTATCAGAAAAGAACTGGCTCAACTAGTAGCCAATTTATATCCTAGGAGCCTTCAGTACAAGTAACCTGAAGCATTTAACTAAGCTAAATAATAGCCCAAAAACTCCTAAAACTTGACAAAGGTACGTACTGGGACAAAAATTGGAACACTTGTTATCAAAACTATAGTAGAATTCCCTTAATAGGAAACCACACAGTTCTGACAGCATATAGTTCTTAATTAAAACCTTTCTCTGCAAAAGAAGACAACCTTCCAAAATTTGTCAGTAAGAAGTTTGATATGTACGCATAAAAAATACGCGTGAACTGTGATCTGAATGTAAACTATCACCTTGAGGTGACTGAGGTATTGGCGGTTTAAAAGGAGGTGGTGGAGAAAATGGAGGAGCACCCGGACATGGCTTTGCTGTACCCGGACCACATAGGAGAGGATTATTTGCAAAACTGAAAAGTTGCATTTATATGGTAAATGATTAATAAAAAAACTAAAAATATTAATAAACAAATGTTGGTGGCGCACCTTATAGGAGTAAATAATGAAAAAGAGCCAGTAGAAGGAACTTCTCCTGACAGATTGTTGTTTGATAGATCTCTGCACATATATCACTTCTTGATAAAATGTTTGCATCACGATAAATAAACTACAACAAAAGTTTAAAAAAAACAATGAAAAACATTGCATTATGTAAATTAGAAAGCAACTTACAGAACTTGGAGAGTGTTGATACTGGTTAAAGATTTCGGAATCGAGCCTGCCAAGCTGTTGTTGTTAAGCCGTCTATCCTTCCACATTTTTGTTAAAAGTAATATTATGTTACGGACTGTAACTTGAACAAGGATGTAAGTGAAATACAAAAAAATTAAAATGACTGCCCATCAATGACATCTTAGTGATATTTTTTTCCCCAGAGAGAAGAAAATGAGAAAGTATTAGCTTCATTTCAGTGGAAGGCAATGTGATACCATTGACCTTCCAAGACTGAATTGCAAAGACTCAACCATCTGGATTCGCCTAATGATTTACTTCCTGAACATTCTGAAACCTCATCCATATGGAAGCTTATAAGATTCTTTGCATGCAAATATAACCCAAATTAGCTTATTTTTATCTCTTCCCTTGTACTGTATGACCATGAGACAACTATCTGTTATCTGGGATTATAGAATTTTAGAACATATATAAGTGTCACAGAGGATGAAGTTCTTACAGAAATCGTAGTTTCGATAGATTCCCCAACGAGTCAGGTATTCCTCCAGTAAAATTATTTAAGTAAAGATCCAAGCTCACAAGATTTTTCAGATTCCCCAGGTCAGTTGGAATCGACCCGCCAATGTTGTTGCTATAAAGCTCCCTGTTATTATATATGATAGTAAAATAATCTGCATAAGGAATACTGGCAGAATAGAATTTCGACTGAGGCTGGAGACTAGGGATTAAATTTTCTAATCTTAAGAAAAATATAAATTAAATTTCAACTAAATTTATGAACAGAATATGCGAGGCTCACAAATACTATACTGCAAATCAAATTGAGAAGTATACTTTCAGTGTACTCTTCAATAAGTTATCTAAAAAAGAAAGGTAACACAATAAATGGTTAAAGTAAAAGTATGTCAACAGTGTATATGAGGAATAAAAAAACCATACAGCAACTCAGAGGTATCCTGAGGTTACGGTATTGTCTAGACTTGTCCACATCATACTGAAGAGTTAATTGTACACAGAAGCAAATGTAGGAAGAGAAGGAAGGTGTCAGAGGTCATCCATAACTTCTTAAATCTGGAAATGTATAGTCATGGATTAAGCAAAAAATTAGGTCCAATACCAGAAAAATGATAATGGACCTTCTAAAATGGCCATGAGAAAAAGTTAAGTCATGGAAGTCTCCAAGAAGAGTTGATAATTAATTTCAGGTCCCTGTGAAATTACCTTATATTTGAGAACTAAAATACATGGTAACATGTAATAAATAGATTGATCCTAACATGAATTTCTGGATGCAAAGATGGCATTCCACTATACCTATTCTCTGTAAGTTAATTCAAAGACAACATAACACAACTAGCACAAGAATCTCAATGCATAAAAGCCAGGTAGTGTAGGCAAATTCCTCAGGTTTATACTCAATTTGCTTGTTTAAAGTTTCTAATGCAGATGTATTTCTGGAATTCCCTCGGGATTGTATGTCAACTTAGCAAATCATTGCCTTAAGATGAACCTTTACTTAAAATATTAGACCTAAGTTCCATACAAAAAAGGTTGGTTCTAGTTCTGCAAGCATATCTTAATATGTTTCTTTGTTAAAGTTCATACTCTTTTCAAGCTAACAATATCACATTATCACATACTAATTTTAGGTCCCAGAGGCTTCTTACAGTAATTGATGGCATTAGAAAGAATGTTGTGTCATTAATAACACTGGTAGCAGTCACTAGAAGAGCTCCCTAAGCAGTCTTTAACCGGAAATATTAGGACAACTAAGGTTCATTTTGAGTATGAAAACATTATATTGCTAAATGAGAAAAATTAAGCATGATTCTCATTTCTTCATAGAGATTTCTATGCAATCTTCTTCAAGATAAGAAGAAGAAGAAGACAATGATTGTATTATGATTTATGGAATGCTCATTGGGTGCAAACAAAAATTTAATTTTGGAAGAATTATTAATGATTTTAGTCTGTTATAGAAATAGTTGAAATAGAAACCCTAATCTTATTATGAGATCTCTTGGGCTTATATAGGCCCCTACACAACTTACAAATAAGTCCCTAACTAATACTAATATGTCAACACTCCTCCTCAAGATGGGCGAAAGATATCTACTAAGCCCATTTTGTCACATCCTCTAATCATATCTACTAAGCTAAGTCCTTTAGTCAGACAATCTGCTGCCTGGTCCTTAGTCGAAACATGACTTAGCTCCAGTAGTCCACTATCCAACTTCTCTTTGATGAAGAACCTATCGATCTCGATGTGTTTGGTTCTATCATGCTGTACTGGGTTGTTGGCGATACTGATGGCTGACTTGTTATCACACCACAACTTCATCTTAGCTCCTTGATCCTTGGCGATACTGATGGCTGACTTGTTATCACACCACAACTTCATCTTAGCTCCTTGATCCAGCTTCAGCTTCAGCTCCACCAGCATACTCTTCAACCATAGCAACTCAGCAACTCCTAAGGCCATACCTCTATACTCCGCCTCAGCTGTCGATCTCACCACCACCGACTGCTTCTTGCTCTTCCACGAGACTAAGTTGTCTCCTATAAAGATGCAGTATCCTGAGGTGGACCTCCTGTCATCAGCACAGCTAGCCCAATCAGAATCACAATAACCCTCAATGCTCATGTGTTCATTCTTCCTGAAGATTAGCCCTTTTCCGGGGGCATTCTTCAAATACCTTAGAATCTGGTACACTGCGTCCATATGACCATTCCTTGGATCATGCATGTAGCGACTCACCACGCTCACTGCAAAAGAGATATCGGGACGTGTGTGACATAGATAGATCAACCTGCCCACCAGCCTTTGGTATCTGTCACGATCAACTGGTTCTCCAGCTTCAGCACCCAGCTTAAACTTCTGGTCGATCGGTGTAGTTGCAGGTTTGCATCCTAACATTCCTGTCTCTTTGAGAAGATCCAGTGCATACTTTCTCTGGGATAGGACGATCCCCTCCGCTCCTCGAGCTATCTCTATTCCAAGAAAGTATCGAAGCAAGCCAAGATCTTTCACCTCGAATTCCTTACCCAGTCTCACTTTGAGTTGGGCAATCTCCCTCTCATCATCCCCTGTAATAATCATATCATCCACATATACTGCAAGCAAGGTGATGTGACCTCCACTTCTTCGAAAGAACACGGTATGATCGGCGCTGATCTGCTGGTACCCCATACCAATCATAGCCCTCCCGAATCTGTCAAACCAAGCACAAGGAGACTGCTTTAGCCCATAGAGAGACTTCTTCAATCTGCAGACTTTTCCCACTATCTGATCTGTACCGAATCCTGGTGGTGTCTCCATGTATACCTCCTCCACTAGATCTCCATGAAAAAATGCGTTCTTCACATCTAGTTGGTGTACCTTCCATCCACCATTTACTGCCAGAGAGATTAAGATCCGAACAGTGCCCATCTTTGCCACCGGTGCAAAAATCTCATCATAATCGATGCTATATGTCTGACTATACCCTTTTGCCACCAGACGAGCCTTGTAGCGTTCAACTTGTCCATCTGGATTCTGCTTCACAGTGAAGACCCACTTACATCCAACTGCTCTTTTTCCTTCTGGTAGTTTTACTAGCTCCCAAGTGCGGTTCTTCTCAAGAGCCCCTAGCTCCTCGTGCATACTAGCTCCCAAGTGCGGTTCTTCTCAAGAGCCCCTAGCTCCTCGTGCATAGCCGTTTTCCACTTTGGGTCCTTCTTAACAACCTGTCAATTGTTAGATACAGTAACAGAGTCCAATGATGCAATGAATGCTCCATGTGCAGGGTGGATATTAGAATATGATACAAACTGGGCAAGATCCCAACCATATCTATCGGAAGGATGTCTTGCATTGCTGCGAGTAGTCCTCCGTACTGACATTGGTGTGGGAGGAGTAAGGAGAGGAATGATATCACCTTGAGAGGAATCTGATGATGGTGTAGGTGTCTCAGGAGTCGGGACAGGCGTTGATAAGGGACTTGACACTAGTGGCACTGTAGGTACTGTTTCTGCAATTTGTTTCCCCTTCCTATTATAGGTAAGTAGCTCCCCCTGAGCCGTGGGCCTAACACCTCTTGTCTCCTTATCCTCTTCTTCTTTATTCTCCTGCTCCTCTACCAATTCTCCTTCCCAAGGAATCGTTAGAGAAATCGATTTCTCCATATTATCCTGCCTCTTACCATTCTCCCCTTCTCGCCTCATACTTCCAGTATTGGGCGAGTCACCAACGGATGAGGGTACCTTCTGTGTGTAATATGGCTCAAATTCACGAAAGTACACATCCATACTTACGAACAGCCTTTTCTCCACCGGGCTCCAGCAAACATATCCCTTTTGAGTAGCAGAATATCCCACAAAAATACACTTCACCGCTCTAGGGGCAAGCTTCCCGACGGATGGTCTGTTATCCTTCACAAAGCACAGACAACCAAATACTTTCAGTGGAAGAATCCCACCATTATCTCCTTTCAACGTCTCACACGGAGACTTCCAATCCAGTACTCTCGAGGGCATTCTGTTGATCAGCGCCGCTGCAGTCAACACTGCTTGCCCCCACAATATTTCTGGGACATTCATGGAGATCATCATACTTCTAGCAACCTCTAAAAGATGTCTGTTCTTCCTTTCTGCTACCCCATTCTGAGCTGGTATGTATGGACACGTAGTCTGGTGTTGTATTCTCTGAGATGACAAGTATTCTCCAAACACTCTGTTGGTGTACTCTGTCCCATTATCAGATCTCAATACCTTCACCACTGCTCCATATTGAGTCTGAACATTCCTATGAAAGTTTTGAAAGCAGCCAAACACTTCACTCTTATTCTTCATCAGGTATAACCAAGTAACGCGAGAGAAGCAATCAATAAAGGTAATAAAATACTTGTATCCATTCATAGAACTTGTGGAACATGGCCCCCACACACCTGAATGTATCATATCAAATGCATGAGAACTCCTATGATCAGAACTAACATAAGAGCTTCTAGTAAGCTTTCCCAACTTACATGCATCACACACAAGTTTCTCTTTATTTACTTTCTCAAATAAAGATGGATACAACCTACTTAAAACACCGAAAGAAGTATGTCCCAAGCGTTTGTGATGAAACATCAATACACTCTCAGCACTCATCTCAGATCCTACTCCTGCTCTCTCTACCATTGACACCAAAACTGAATCTAGCCCTTCACGATCTAGATATCACAGTCCATTACGCCATGTGCCAGTCCCAAATCTCCGTCCTGTCCCCTTCTCCTGAAAGATCACCTTGAAAATATTAAAAGAAACAATACATTTTAGTTGGAGGATGACAGAACTAATGGATAAAAGATTGACTGGAAAGGAAGGAGCATGCAAAACATTAGACAAAGTTATAAAACCAGTACAATCGACTGTACCCTTACCAACCACCGACTGAAATATACCATCAGCTGTTTGAATACTATCAGGCGATGCTAAGTGAGTATATGATGAGAACTCACTAGCATTACCTGTCACATGACGAGACGCACCGGAGTCGACTATCCACTCTGATGATCTGTTAGGAGACATTGAAGCAAGAGCATGTATGTTATCAGTACCTTTGATCGGATGAGCATAGGCAGCAGTGTTGCCTCTGGCGAAGAACGAAATGGATGCCTCCTCAGTCCCACTCCTCAAGTCTCCATCCCCTGCTACTTGCTGTTTTTTCCTGAGTATCGTCAGGAGAGCACGATCCTCCTCTGTAAAGACCACCTCAGCTTTTTCTTCCTCTGCTACCGTCAAATTCGCCCGATTCCCTGCTCCTCTTTCACCTCGTCGACCCCCACGGTCACGACCACGACCTCCGAACTGTCCACGTCCACCCGAATCTCCTTCCTGACCCCCACGGTCACGACCACGACCTCCGAACTGTCCACGTCCACCCGAATCTCCTTCCTTGGGTGGCTCGATGCAAGCATACTTTAGATGACCCACCGCACCGCAGTTGTAGCACTGTCGAGTCTCTCCCCTAGATCCAGTGCTGCTAGAGGCTGTCAGTGCTGACTTCACCACAGGAAGTCCACATGTCCCCGCCTGCAGCCGAATGCGGGTCTCCTCCTGGATCATAGCAGAGACAGCCTCCTCAAGCATGGGAATCTTCGGCTGAGCTAGCAGCAATGCGATTCGCTGAGCGAACTCTGATGTCAATCCCTTGAGAAACACCATAGTCCTCTCCTGTAAAAAGGTCTCCCGCTCTTTACATCCCGGGTCCTTGCAGCTAGCCCGGGAGGAAAAATGATCATAATCCAGCCACAGGCGCTCCAACTCTGTAGCATATTCCTGTACAGTCCTCTCTCTCTGGACTGTGGTGTCGATCTCTCCTTTAATCTGGAATACCCTCAGGTTATTCCCCACTCCATCATATGTCCTCCTCAACTTCTCCCAGACGTCCTTCACCTTCTCAATGTCATCCACTGTGGTGGCGATCGTCGAGACCAACGAGTTAAGAAGCCAGATGTACACCAACATATGAGTGGACTTCCACTCATCTCTTCCCTCTGAGTCCTCCGGCTCTGTCACCTTTCCTGTCAGATAGCCCTCCAGATTCCTCCCTGCAAGGGTATATCTCACCCGCCGTGACCAGCTCAGGTACGTACTAGGTCCATCCAGCTTCAGATCGATGGTCGGAAGCTCCAACTTCTTGGATGGTTTTATCGCGCTCTCACCAGCCGACAACTTCATCAGCTTCATCAAAGTTGACACCTCCGCGGGGTTCAACTTCTTGATAATCTCCTCCATTGATCAAGCTTCAGACCCAACACCTGGTCACCGTCTCTTCTGACCCTTGTTGTGTGTAGTGAAAATTTCGACAGCACCTCTGCTATACAACAAGAGTAAGATCTCAGACAAACCCTCGTTTCTCAGAGGAAACAAGAATAAAAAACAGTGATATATCTCATCGCCGTGAGATATATACTCTTCCTGTCATCAGCTCGAGGACTGAGTCGAGGGAATAGCCGGGTGAGGAGGGGGTGGGGTGGGGTGGCGGCGGCTAGGGCTTGGAGGAGGCTCTGATACCAAGTTGAAATAGAAACTCTAATCTTATTATGAGATATCTTTGGCTTATATAGGCCCCTACACAACTTACAAATAAGTCCCTAACTAACACTAATATGTCAACAGAAATCCCCATGAAATCTAACTTCAAAATGTTGGCAAGATAATATACATTAAGAATTAGAGATATCCATGGACTATGTCACTGATTTATGCAACATCTCAAGTCAAAAACAAGACTGCAGAGGTACTCTTAAAACTGAAGAACATTATGCCCAGTCACTGAACATGCGGCTAGAATTGTATGACTTAGCAAGGATATGAAGGTGAATGTCTATAGTTTGTTTATATTTTCTGAGGTGCTACCAGGGAAATCAATGTTTCTAGAAAAAAGAAATTCCACCTATCTACTAGAGGAAGTGAACTTACAGGTACTGCAGATTTTTCAGTTGACCAAGCTGGGGGACCAGTTGTCCAGATAAGTTTGCATTTCCAAGATCACTGAAAAAAAGTTTTGCATGGTGTCCATCATTGGATTCAACAGGGGAAAAAGAAATTCAATGTACTATTTGCAAGAGCTATCTGCTTACACTCTAACTACACTATTGTCACTGTTGCATGTAACATGGAACCATGTGCATGGGTTGACAAGAGTTGGATCCCAACTTTGTAGAACATTGTTAGGATCTTTTAAGTTCGCTTGCAAACTATGGAGTGCATCACCTATTGACAGAAAGATGCAGAGGCCAAAAGGAAATTAGTTAAGCTCAAAAAATAAATGTGACAACTACAATACATGCAGAAGCTTAATAGTCGTACTACACTTTGCTTCCATGTTTCTAGTTTCTTGCAACAGCCAATGAAGAACAAAAGGAAACTCCCCGCCCCAAAACACACACCAAAGGGGTAAAAGAAATAAAAAAGAAAAACTTTTAGGTAGGCTATTCCAGGTGCATTTCTCCTGTAGTTTCATTTTATGCAATCTGGTGCATAGGGGGAAAAGCATAAGTATATAAACTTCAGGCACACAACATCTCAGATTCTCAATGCATCATACTTTGCCATATTTAATGATTCAGCAAAATGAGCTAAATGCAATGAATAATAGATATTCTAATCTAAATTATGCCTGAGAATACAACTAAACGAGAGAAATATATGACTTGCAAGACATTGTTTAGACGGAGGACAAGAATCATAAAATCTCTAAATCTATATAACTTTAAGCGTCTAGACTATTTGTATAGTGTGCGGCTTTCCCATTAGGGGCCTCAGTATGCATGAAAAGCCCAACATGCCCTCACAGAGATACACCATGTCAAACAAGAAATTCGATATGTGAGATGAAAAGAAAGGCAGACCACCTACTGAATTATGGAGCTAGATGGAACAGTACTAATTACTGTTATAGTTGCGAAGATTCCAATGTTAGACTATACTTCGTTATTTTCCCTCAATGTAATCTTCCAAATTAAGTTTAAACTAAATTAGTTGCTCATTTTAAGACTATCTTTGGTTCTTTTAACTCAGTGTCGTCCTTGAAATAAGCTAAAACAAATTAGTTACATATTCAAGCCTCATAGTTACAGCTGCCACCATGGCGATGTTTTAGTTATTTTTACTCAATGTAACCCTTTAAACAAATTAAAACATATATATTTACTCATTCTAAGCTTCAATAAACATTTTTAGCACTCTCATAGCTCATAAGACGCCAAACAGATAAAATGGAAACAAATTTAAAGCTTAAAATCCATCTCAAAACTCTGAGAAAAGTTCAAACTTTTTTCCTCAGTTCCTGAAACAAATAAAATCATCACAACCCCCATTTCACAAAAAAAAAGTGAAAAAAAAATCAGCGAATATACTGATACTCAAGTTTCCATGAACTTTTGAAGATAAAAATCAAGATTAAACCCTAATATAACCTTCCATGTTGGCCAAAACCCTAGCCAGCGGATGTGCCACCAGAATCAGAAAAAGAAACCACGATGGCGCCAAGTAATCCATTTCCATTACCGCAAGCATCACAACAACAGAGGAATCTTCGACCAAATCCTAACCCTAAAAGAGCCCCAAAACTCCACCATTTCGCTCCAAAAGACCACCAACAGGATCAGAATCCAAGACCGAATCAAGAAGTTAGATCAGCTTAAGATTCGAGCAGACTTTAATCTACTTTTTCCCACACCTCCCTCTTCTTTTTGAAGTATGTTAGGGAAAAAAAATTAATCACTTTTTTCTCTCTGTACTACTGAGAGAGAGAGAGACTGTGTGAGAGAGAGAAAGCGCGCTCGCGTTTGTGTGCAGAGGCTGCAGCAGAGCGTCGCAGCTGCCCGTTGCCCGAGGTACACTGATACAGTACGGGCGGTGACCACACCCCCACACCCTTTAACGGGTTTCGGATCCAACTGCATACTATTAAGAGCTGTTTTCATATTAGTCCCCCACCATCTTCAATATTCCATGATAGGCCCTCAACTATTTAAATTGATCATGAAATTAGGGTGTGTTTGGCAACTCACTAAAATTGGGTCATACTCGTTCCTTAAACTGGCTTTAAAAAGAACTAATTTAGTTGTGGGCCTACTCACCTCTCTGGTCCGCAACTAAACCAGTTTAGAGGCTAAAAATAAACTAAAGTAAATTGGTTCTTTTTGGTAATAAGTTTTACGAATCAACAAAATAGTCTAAAACTGGACCACGGTCAAACATGGCCCAAATTTAGAGAGTTGACAAAATTGCCCTTAGGTTTTAAGGGGTCTTGCAAATTCACCCGTCCATTAGCTCTTTGATTAGATCTTGAAGCTACCGACTACCGTGGGGTTAACTTTTAACCCAACACCCTTAATTACCAACATACCTCTCAAAATATGGGAAAAGTCAAAAATGATCGCTGTGAAGGCGGGGAGATGAATAAGGGGGTTTTGATCATTGGAAAATGTAATGTTTGTGGTTTTTGAGTTTTTAGTAAGTTGGTGGGTATTGAGTTGTTAAATTTAATTGAAGGATATAACTGGAAGCTCCCCGCAAAACAATATGTAGAGGACATTTGGAGGAGCTTATTTTTTAGAAGTTTATAACTATGTTATATTTTGATGATAATTTTATAAATATTGCACGGGCAGAATGGTCATTTTCTTGATCAACATTAACTTTTAAATGAGCTTATAAACTAGTTTTTTTTTAAATTAGAGAACCCTCAATGTCTTTTAAGTGAGACCTAAAAACTAGCTTATTTTGGATGCTACCAAATAAATCGATTGGAAAAATTAGCTTAAAAGCCATGAGAAATACAATTGAATAAATTTGTATCTTTATTTTTATCCATTATTAACTTTTTCTAGTTATTAACTTTCGTTACTCGTTTGCAAAACAGTAATTAACAGAAGTTGGTCCTTTAAGGGCTGTTTGGTTCGTTTCCTTGATATAGAGAAATGCAATTTCATGTAAAAAAACACAAGTTTTGAGTTTTTCAAACATTTCCAAGAAATAGATTGTTTTGCTTTGGTTCGCACATAAAAAATGGTGGGAAACCAATGTATTTATTTTTCTTGTGTTTGGTTCGCATAGAAAAAAAAGGAAAACTTTTGTAAACAAAGTAGAGAAGGAAAAAAATCTGACGTGGCAGAGTTTTCATCAATTTTACTTGGTTGGGGAAGGAAATCGGAGAGGGAAAAAATCTTAGTTGGCGGCGATTTCAGCAGAGTTTTCCCTCTTCCATTCGAGCGAACCAAAGCGGCGCAAAGAAATGGACGGAAACAAAAATGCTGACGTGGAGGGCTAAAAATCTGACGTGGAGAGGTTTTCTGAGTTTTTCACCCCTTATAATAGCGAACCAAACAGCCCCTTACTATAAAGCTTAGTAGATTTCATATTTGGAAATAATTCAACTCAAAGGGGTTGTTTGGTTCGTTTAAAAGAGCCTCGAAAACTCATTTCCTTCATCTGACAACAGTGTCACCTCGACAAAACTTATTCTAGGTTTTCTTTTCTTCGCTTTGGTTCGCTTCTTCTCCTCATCCCTTCAGTCGTGAAAACCTCATCCACCTTAGCTCTTCGCCTTTCCCCCATTTCCTTTGCAAACGAGAGGAAATCGGTGTAAAATAGCCCAAAATCTGTACTATTGTCAAATCTGAGGTTTATTTAGGCAAAACTTGTTGATAGCTAGGGTTACCACCACTTTCCCTCGTTTTTTCCCCTCTTCGCGCCTCGGTTCCTCTCTGATGCCCGCGGGAGTTTTGAAGTGTTGATTTTGTGCTTGATTTTTGACTTATCAAGCCTCGGTTCCTCAAATTCGTATTTTTGCTGGATCTTACTAAAAAGATAGCACCTTGATTGGGAAAATTTCGTATTTTTGCTGGATTTTTGCTAGATCTTGCCAAAAAAGGAAATCTAAGGCATGATTTCTGCAATTTTTAGAAATACTATGATGAAATTCGGATGTTGCATTTTCTTTTAGAATTATTCTGAAATTTCCATGTTCTTATGATATTGTGTTTTTTAGAGTTGTGCACTTATTTAAGGAATTATTTGAAGTTTAATCATTTTTCGGCAAGGATTGATGTGTTGGCTAGTTATAAATATGGGTTTGATCATTTTTTTAGTGCAATTGAAGCTGGCTCAAAAAATCTTAGCGACCTACATATGGTTGCGGTATTTTACCTATCTTGGATTTTAAACCCATTTTACTATGACCAATCGACTCGTGATGGTTTAACTTGCAAATCAACCTTTGGATTATATCTCTCTAAATCTTATTATTTGTGTACACATCATATCTTTAATTTGCCTGCATGGTTCTACTTTGCTACTATTTTAATCTTCTATGGAAAAGATTCTCAACAGTCTTGTTTTCTTGCAATGGTTCTACTTTGCATGTATGGTTCTACAATGCCTCGAATAGAATTTTTAACATAAATTTGCTTTTGAAAGAATCTTCTATGAGAAAAGTATAGCACTCGACTGTGGGAGTAGTTACAGTTAATAATAATTGATGATTAGAGCATGGTAATCACCTTCCTAGATTATTACATGTTTTGTATATTTTTTTATGTCAATCATATATTTATGATGAATTCGGTTATTTATTGTTTTTTCATGTTATATTTGTACTTTTATTTTGGTAAGATTACCTCTCATAATGATCACAAATAAAATTATCTTTAGTGAGTGGTAAACTTACCATGGTGACCATATACGGACAAATTTTAAAACCACCCTATTTGAACATTTAATCCCAAAAAACAACCTGTTTTGAACTTATTTGTAAAAACCGACCTGGTTTCAGCACGAAAACCGACCTGGTTTCAGCATTGGCGTTGAAACCAGGTCAGTTTTTGTGAAAAATCTTCCGAAACTTCACGGGAGTTGAACTCCCGTGAAGTTTAGTAAAGCTGCTAAACTTCACGGGAGTTCAACTCCCGTGAAGTTTCATAGTTTAAATTTTTTTTAACTATGATACTTCACGGGAGTTGAACTCCCGTGAAGTTTAGCAGATTTACTAAACTTCCCGTGAAGTTTCGGAATTTTTTTTTAAAAACCGACCTGGTTTCAGCGCCAGGGTTGAAACCAGGTCGGTTTTTGAAAATAAGTTCAAAACAGGTCTTTTTTTGGATTAAATGTGGAAATAGGTTGGTTTTGAAAATTCGTCCGACCATATACACTTTTTCCTATACACTTCAATACCAACCAAACACAAAAAAAGTGTGAAATGTCTACTCAACAAAAGTTTTCCCTTTTTTTGATACCAACCAAACACAATAAAAATATATATATTGGTTTCCCATCATATTTTATGTGTGAACCAAACCCAAACAATCTCTTTCTTAAAAAAAGTTTGAAAACCCCAAAACTTAGATTTCTTTATAGGGTATGTTTGGTATATTTTCGAAAAAAAACATAAATCTATGATAAAAATCATTTCTTGACATTTCAGAGGGCTTCCCCCATTTGACTTATTTGGTTTGTTTCACATTGAAATCATAGGCTGGAAAATATAGTTTCCCATTTATTGGGTTTGTTTGAACAACCATAAAATCAAGAAACCAAATGACTTTTTTTCATTTCTTCAACTTCCAATGTTTGGTATGCAATTGAATGAAATGAGAAATCCTATCTAATATCACCACGATGACCTTACCGCTCACAAAACCAACAAAAAGTTGGCAACGGTAATATTTGGGCAACGGTAAAAAAAAACCATTTCATAGTAACCATGTCTTCACATATATATTTGTGATATTTGTGATATGAGTTAGCATTTGCAACTCAATTCCCACTCAACTTACATTCTCTTCATTTTGCAAAAGTCTGAGCATAACAATAACCAAAGGGGTTTTTTCTCAAGCAGAGCTGAGCTATGTCTGCATCCCAAGTGTCTCATAATCAAGCAACCGAGGTAACTTACTTTTGTAAAATACCGACACCCTAAAAGCTCTGCAGAAATAGAAAGAACAAGAGCAAATACTTTTGGGGCTACGCCAAATACCCAAATAGGCAATGCAAATTTTTTGTCTGAGCTAATATGAGCATGATATCAAAAAGGGAAAATCCAAAAAAAGATGAAGCTTCTCTTCAAGCAGTTTCAGAAATAAAAGATATGCAAAAAAACATTTGAGAAGAGAATTGAAGTTCGTAACTCGACAAATCGATTACTTGAAGAAATGTCATGTTGTCTTAGGGATATTCAGTAATTTCCTTGTTGTTGTAAATATTGTAATATGTACTTTGAAAATATAATGCATAAATCTCTTCAGTTGCAAATGTGCTCAGGTATAGATGTATTCATATGTACATATATATTCGTATGAATAAATCATAACAAGCTGGGTATTGCAGAAAAACTCAACGGCAAATTAACAAAAAAAATCATATATGCATCAGAAAGTATACATATCTATGGAAGTAAGGAGCAGTACGTGGAAATAAGTAGCATTATGTCATAAAACAAAATTTGCATACACATGCGAAAACTGTAAGAAAAGAAGCCCTCTTTATATGAATTCAGACATGCAAGCAAACCCATAAATACCCAGTTATTCAGCATCATATCAGGAAAACAGAATATCAAAACATTTGTGAGAATGATTATCGAACGATGAAACAAATATGCTCAAATATTTGTCAACAACATCATACATTCTACGCCAGACAATTAATGTACACAATGCTGGCTGCAGATCAATAATCAATAGTGAGCCTACCTCGCCATGTCAATTGGTAGGATACTTACTAGTTAGATATATTATGAAGCTGATAGTCATCATTGCACGGAACAAATATAGATATATTCATATGAATATATA